GTTCCTGCATTTTGGCAGCTAACTATATATATTTCCTCGTTAAATGACTTTATAAAAAAGCATTAACAAAGAAACTCCAAGGTAAATTAAAACAAAAGGGATCGTCCATAAATTCTGACTAAATCAAACGTTTGACTTAACAAATTTGATATGTTTGCTGTGACGTTTTACAAGATTTAATCTTGACATGTTTCATCAATGGACTGAAACATATTTCTCCATCTGCTGTATCTGAGTTTATCTACGGTTTAAATAGAAATTTATGTTTTTGTTGATTGAAATATTTACCTTCAATTCAACTACTAGGTATGAGATAAGATCTGTAATCAAAATCACACATGTTTAACCCCGCCACATTCTTTATGTCAGGAGCTTGTAGATCAGAGGTTGTCGTTGGTTCATGTCCGTCATATTTGTTTTTCGTAAATTGTATTGTTATAAACGAGGCCGTTAGTTTTCTCAATTGAATTGTTTCATGTTTGAACCTTTATAGCCGACTTTACAGTATGAGTTTTTGTCATTGTCGAAGGCCGTATGGTTGCCTATAATTGCTGCTTACATCCACTTCATTTCAACTCGGGTGGATAGTTGTCTCATTGGCAATTATAACACATCTCCTTATTTTTAAATTAATTTTCAAACGAACATATAACAGATGATGTTTCTAACTAGTATGCTTGAAACCTAGTTTCAGTTATACAAATACAACACGAATCTTGAAAGAAAAAAACACTAAACTATAATTACTTAAATGATAATACCAAGGGGGATCGAAAATCATGAGTCTGATAAAAACAGACCATATACCATGACTTGAATTTAAACGATGAAAAGACAGACAACAATAACAGAACATTACACAGAAAATCAGAGATTCAGCAACACGAACCTCATGACAAAAGGGAATTGACCAAGGTGTTCCGGGTATGCAGACAGTTACGATATATTTTAAAATAATGTGTGTTATACTTTTACGACAAATGGTCCAGATAGTCCCTTTTCCGAGTGACTCACTGGACCATTCCAGATAGTCCCTATTCCGAGTGACTAACTAGACCATTCCAGATAGTCCCTATTCCGAGTGACTAACTGGACCATTCCAGATAGTCCCTATTCCGAGTGACTAAATGGACCATGTCCTATTTGTTGATATGTGTCTGTATCTTTATTTTGTCGAAGTGTTGATGATTGTCGGAGTCTATTGTATTGCACAACATATAGTGGTAAGCCTGTTATTCGTGTTATATTTTACATAGTTATAAAACGTAGGTGATTAATGTTTGCATGCCATGAAAGTAAGAGAACCGTTGCCCTTGTGCGGATTTAGAAGAAAGAAAAGATAGTTCCATATTCTTGAAATACCCATACTGAAATCAGGCCATTTATTTCTCTCTTTGCAATCATTTCACATTATTCATGGGCCTTCTTTGCATACTATATGATTTGATCACTGCTTATTGTTGATGGCTTTAAGGCCATCTGCATTTGTTCTCATTCTTGTCTATTGTTTTTAATGAGTTATTGTCTCATTGGCAATGCAACTAATATTCTTATTTTTATATGAATAAAGTAGTATTGTCCTAATGCATTTCTTTCGTTTTGGCAGTACGTGCACCGAATTTGATTGGTAGTTTCAAAAGACGGGCGAAAGATAACAAAGGGACATTCAAACTCATAAGTCGAAAATAAACTGACAACGCCATGGCTAAAAAAGAAAGAGATCAACAGACAGACAACAGTACACAAAACCAAACACAGTGTTATATACCACCATGGTTTTATTGATTCAATTGTTTCTTTTCGATTTTTTCCCCTATTACAAAAATAACTGTCCATTTGATTCTGAATATGCAGTACCTACATGACCGTGAATACTCTTAAAACATTTAATTTCGTTTTTATGCTTGCAAACGTTTTATAGTTTTACTTATTTACTTATAAAATGGAGCTGAATACCAAATACATAAACGTTTTAAACGTTATTTCTGATCGACACATTATCTCAATAATACATTAACAATACAAAACTAGAAACAAAAACAATGATGAAGAAACGTTAATGTTTGATGGTTCAGTTACGCTTGAAGAATGGGCTTGACGGTCTTACCGTACATTTGTACAAAATTTTTTGGAAGAAGCTTAAATATGTACTTGTTAATTTATACAATAAAAGTCACTGATACCGGTTGAGTGTTCTGTCATTAATATTGAAAAAAGAGGACCAATTAAAATTAGAAATCTATAGAACAATTTAATTATTAAACGTAGATCTCAAAATTCTGTCCCATGCACACCTTAAAAAGTTCTCTCAAAACCTAATTTGAATACTTAATTTTTTTTATCGGATTCAATTTAAGACAAATACAAGATATAATAGAGTATGCAGACATATATCATATAGAAGGGGCTATTGTTTTTGTCGATTTTCAAAAAGCCTTCAACACTCTCTAATCGAAATTCACTTTATATAGCTTTCAATTCAATGAATCATTCATAAATTGGGTTAAAACTTTGTATAACGATATTCAAACATGTACTATTATCAATAAATGGATCATGTTTAAAAATTCAAGAAGGATTACGCAAGGGTGTCTTTTATCTGCTCTTTTTTTGTCATATCCGTTGAGATATTGGCACTAAGACTTAAGAAATAACAAAAATATAAAAGGATTTCAGATTAAATTTGATAGTAAAAAACATTGTATTAGAACACAGATGGTTGCAGTCATAACCTGAACAAAACATTAAAAAACTTTAGCAGACCTGCAAGTTAACTTTATCTTTATCATACCAGACCTAGGTTTGCTTTTTTAGGACTGCTGCAGACTAGACATGGAATGACAAACCAGATAAAATTAAAAGAAATACGATGATTGATAATTTTGAGTCAATGTAAAAAGACAATGTTTGTCAATGAGTGGCAATTATATTGACATTTCTTTTTTGTTAGATAATAGAAAAAAGAAGATGTGGTATGAGTGCTAATGAGATAACTCTCCATCCAGGTCACAAAGTGTAAAAAGAAAATAATTATAGGTCAAAGTACGGCCTTCAACACGGAGCAGTGGCTCGCACCGAACAGCAAGCTATAAAGGGCCCCAAAATGACTAGTGTTAAACAATTCAAACAGGAAAAACAACGGTCTAATCTATATAAAAAACGAGAAACACTTAAGAACCACATCAACAAACTATAACCACTGAACAACAGGTTCCTGACTTAGGACAGGTGTACACAAATACAGGCGCCAACCTTTACCCTAACCTGAAATAGTAGTGTAACATTACAACATAGAAAGACACACTATAAAATATAAATTGAAATGATTTAACTCAATCAAAAAGACATATTAACAAAAACAAGTAAACATACACTGAACGAATAAATTTGATCTATGACACAATATAAATACAATAAAAGAAGGGATATAAAAGAATGTCAAAAAGACAACCATTTCCATTCTCAATTTTAACTCTAACCGTGGACAAAATGGCGTTAAAGAAAATAACGTACACAAGTATATTTAAATATAATAATTTTGTAAGGAAAATTTTTTTACAAAATAAATAAATTTGTTGTTCACAGTACGAGAACAGAAGTGAACATTTAACGTCATACTAAATACTTATCAAAGATGGTAAATATTAAAAATAGTGAGACGAGATATTACACAAAGTAAGTAAACATTGAATAACAAAAAATGTATTACAAATTGTGTCAACAGGTCTAATTTACAAGAAAGTACGATTTGAGAGTACTCGGCAGTTACTGAAAGCTAGTTAAAAGCACAATACAAAGCCAAAAACAATTAATAATTAAAAATCATACACCAGAGACTAAAATCAACTAATACACATCCCAGGGATTTAGTTTTTTGCTATACGATATCAGACAAAAACTTCTTTGGATATATCTATCTTATAACTAATAATGGTCATTCAATTTATAAATCATATTATTTATCTGGTTGGAAACGAAAGGAATAGATGTTTTTTGTCTATTCCTTAGAAATTTAAAAAAAAAAAGAATGTGATATAATAGAAACATGGAAGAAGTTATATTTATTTTTAATGTAAAAAACTTTTATTAGATTGATAATTTATAATTTATCATTACAATAGAATATTGTAAATTATCTTTATACTTCACAAGGAGCTTGGACTTGTTGAAGATAATGTAACAAGCAATTGATGGAAACAAAGAGATTTATTGATGTTAAAAAGAAGTTTTTTTGGAAATACTCTCAAATCATTTAACACAGATTATCGGTTATGTTTTTCAATCAATGAATGTTTATATGTATCAAATGATTGTATCATAAGATTGTGATTATAGATTGAAATCATGTGTTCATCTTAAATGTTATAACATCCTGTAATTTAGTGGTTGTCGTTTGTTGCTATATATCATATTTGTTTTTCGTGTTTTGAAAATAAATCAGGCCGTTAGTTTTCCCCTTTGAATTGTTTTACATTTGTCATTTTGATGCCTTTTATAGCTTTCTATGCGGTATGAGTTTGCTCATTGTTGAGCCCCTACTATGACCTATAGATGCTTACTTCTACGTCAATTGGTCTCTGGTTGAGAGTTGTCTTATGATGTCGAAGAACAATGTGTCATCTATGTCGTAGTGTATTCTTATTTGTCTGTTTAATATATGACTTGAAAACTTGAATGAAGCTTTTTCATGTGCAGCATCCTAAGAAAGCTATCAACAAAATTAGTTGGTGGAGTAATGGAAGATCTGGTATACATACCTTTGGATCATGATGTAGAGACTGTGAGGTTAGATGAACCATTTTGGTTGGTGTTTTTTTATCTTAAATTTTCTGTAAAGTGTTCGGGGATTTTTGTTTGTCTCTCTCATTCTTTGGTGGTTGAAGGGACCAAAGATGGTGTATGTCTTTCCTTAACTTATGATATGTGATAGTCCGAAATGCATCGTTTACCCTTTTTCATTCAATGTCAATATGTTTTCAAAATAACTTTTTTTTGTACAGGTGACCTTACATGCAACATCTTTTACTCTGACAGCTATGACGATTGACCGATACCATGCTATCGTTCACCCATTAAGTTCGATGAACTGGAGAAACAGGAAGATATCTACAATTACCTGTATCTTTGTATGGGCAAGTAAGTGTATTTAAACGGATATGCCTACAACTTCCTATCTCTTTGTATGGGCTTTTAAATGGGATAAATTTACAATTCTTGTATCTTTTGTATAGACAGGAAGCTGTTATCAAAGGGATATATATTGTCGATAGTTGCTCACTGTCATATTTGTTTTCGTTTATCATTCTTATAAATCAGGTTCTTTGCATTTGTTTGTAAATTTGTAACGTTTCTTATTTATCTGTTATTCAAATATTCGACTTTGAGCGATCTTTGTAAAGGTAAATCAATAAAAGCACTTCGAATGCATGAAATTTATAGTGTTATTTCCATCGTTTTTATCTTTGGGTCGATACCGCTGCTGGTGGACTGTAAGTCCCCGAAAGTTTCTTCAGCTCGGTAGTCATTCCTTCGGTTCTGACATGATTAATAACCATTTGGCTATTGCATAGGTTCTTTTTGGTCATATAGCTCTTCAACCATTTCGGTTCTTATACATCCTGTAAATATTCGGCTTTCAACATTCCTTGTGAGGGTAACTCCGGAAAAACAATTCGGACGCATACAAATTTATAAAGTGTTGTTTTAATGGTTTGCACAGTTTGTCATCGGGGACCTTTTTCGGCTGATTTTTCCTCATTGATGAAAGCCATAAGGTGACGTATAGTTACTTATATTTACGTCACATTACCTTTTTAACTGCATAACAAGTTTCAGTTACTGTCTGAAGAGCTGAATTAACGGCCGAAAGCACTAAGCGTTCACCAATTACCTTTCTCCTTGTGTGGATTGGATACATTTGCTTTTATGCAATTCAGGAAATCTTTTTAAATAAAAGGAATACATCTCCCTCACGCAAAGCTGTAATTCTCGGTCTGAAATTTGTTACAAATTAGGTCCTTCTCCGACAATTTTATTTATATTTTGGATTTTTAAATATTTTGGCCTCGAGCGCTATTGAAAACCATTACATGTCGAAATGCGCATCTTGTGCTGTTAACTTTGTGATCGTTAATGTTACAAGTTAAATTCATATTTGTATCTATTTATCAGCCGGAATCTTTTTCCAGACTAATTTTCAATTGAATATTGAACTTAATAAAGATAACATAAATAGCTACTTAATTACGACAACAACAACATAAATAAATACTTAATTACGACAACAATAGCATAAATAGCTACTTAATTACGACAAGAACAACATCATAACTACTCGATTACAAAACTATCAGGAATAGCTACTTAATTACGACATCTCATAAAACTCGTCATTTGTTTTTGTAGTTGCTTTTTTCATATCTGTTCCGTTTGCCCTATACCACAAAACCGTCACTGACGAGGAAGATCATACATATTGTCAAGAAGCATGGCCAGACGAGACATTGGGGAAAGTAATACTCATAACAGTCACAGGAACTAACTACGTCTTACCATTAACCATCATTGTTATATGTTATTATCAGATTCTTCGTAATTTATGGAAAGGCTATAGACGAAAGGTTTGTACAGACATGAAACAATAATATTACTTTTGTTGTGAATATTTTCTAAGTGCGATTGTGTGTCTGTTTATTTCGTACTTCGTATCTTCATATTTTTGTCGAGAAAACCAACTATACTAGTGGATAAACATTATGATCTTTTAACCATATTTAGTATGAAATATATTAATATGATAAGAAAAACATAACTCTGCTTTTCATTTGATCGATATACGACGTTGTTCTTTCACATGGGAGCTCACAAGGTAGAATACAATTGCCAAGGAATGTCATCCTCCCCAAACAAATTATTCTGTCTCGGAGCCGACCAGTCTGATCTTATTCTTCTATTACCCATGCTAAGCGGAGAAACCTAATACTATTTTTAAGTATTTGTTATTATCTGACCGGTGATCGAACTTATACCGTCATCCACAGTCGAGGGTAGTGCATATAAAATATTTACAAATATGCATAATGGTCATAGCATGTTATCAGTATTAATTTGGAATGAGAGATATTTCACGGTTTGGAAAAATTATTTGATCCGCAAAAAAGGGTAAAATAATTTTGAGAAAAATCAAATACTATGTTGTAAAAAGTAAAGTCACAAAAATAACGAACTACAAGGAAAATTCAAAATGGACAGTCCCTTATCAAATGGTAACGACCATTACTTTTATCACATTTAATCCCTATGTCTAACCTTTGCCAAAAAACAACTATTTAAGTTGAATATCGATCATACGTTATATTGATCGATTAGAAACAAACAATTAACAATTTTTACAATGAATATTTTTGTTTCAGACAGGAAGATCTATAAATTCAGCAGTTACTAGTGAAACACAAACAAGAAGAAAGAAGCGTATGACGCGCATGGTAGCAGTTATAATATTGCTGTTTGCTACATTCTGGTTTCCGATCCACGTTATCAATATTTATACCAAGCTATATCCTGAATTCCCCAAAACCGAACCTATGTTTATAATCAAATTCCTAGCACACACATTATCATATGCAAACTCCTGTGTAAATCCATTCATATATGCGTTTTTAAATGACCGCTTTAAAAAATCGTTCGTGAAAACATTCCCATCACTCAGTTACTGGTTTCCTTGCATGCGAAATATTATTGAAGAACTCGAACACACCCGGATTACCAACATGGTGGATCAAGCAATTCAAGCAGGAGCAGATGACAACGATAATGACCACGTTGAGGAAAACTGTAACCACATTCAACTTCAGAAATTACAGGAAACTAGTTTGCTATAAGAAATATGAGAATAATGGTGCTATACAGTGAGAAATTATGACGGTTGTTTGCTGGAAAAGACACGTGTTCTGACTACAAATGATTTTTTTTATATATAATTCTTGTACAATTTGCTTATCTACAAAAAAATGAAATCTGTTATCTTTTTTCCTTTAGTTTTTACAGAACAAAAACGTATGAATAGAATCCTCGGGTTTAAAGAAAGTTGAATTTGAGAGAAATGTATAACACATTATTGTTTTGAGAATTTTAGGGATTTGGCACATTTTGTCTTCAGATTTTTCTTCTTCTTTTGTAAGTTAATTGGCTCAGAGTATGAATTGATAATTTCTTATTCTATTATGAAAGAAACAAGATTTGTAAGTGCTTGCGTACAGCCAAAAATGTTTTGTTTTCGAAGGGAGACTTTTTAAGCGACAACAAACATGTTTTTTTAATTCCAGACGATACATGCTCAACAAATATTTCTGTTTTTGTTTTTGTTATTTGTTAAGCTAGTAGAGTAATGCCTCATTGCATCATTTATTGATTAAAATCTCTGAGAAATCGACTTAGATTATTCACAATGTGATATTTGTATCAGTGAAATCGACTTGGTAAATTGAGTATTGATACGTAAGGTTTTTTTTTAATAAGAGTGCGTTAACTATAGTTTGTTGAGGGTGTTTCTGTTAACATTTTGACATTTCATATTAATGTTTCCTGTAATTGCGTGTGTTTTATAAAATAAAAATCTTTTAAAATGCTCTTATCATTCTGTGTTTTTCTTGTGCAGGAAGTAGTTTTAAATTGTAGCTGGTAGTCTAGTTTAATTTTGATCGTCTTCAAGTATAACTTGATCGATACAATTTGTCAGTTTCTATATTTAACACCGTCTATTTCAGACATTATTACATATTTTTCGTGTTCCTGGCGAAGGATCTTGTTAGATGTATTGATAATATCCTTTAACTCTTTAACTGTTTTACAATGAGTAATAACCTGCCATGTATTCCATTGAATAAGACAGTAACATTAATATATGCTTCATATCTGATTTTTTTTTTTTTATGATTTGACGGACTTTCCGAAGCTTTGTTCTCTGTCAAATGCAGTGTATGCAGTTTTCCATAAGGTTGTTGTCCTGTAGACTTACCTGGTCTCACTACCTCGAATTTGGTAATTCCCAATGTATGTGCATGCATTGACAAAATTACATATATATATGGATATCATCATTCTTCATCTATGTATATTTGATTGTCAGATTATTAAATGTTAAGTAATTTTCGACCCTTTTTGTTTTCAATGTGTAGGTAGGTTTTAACGTGAAGTGATCTCATATCAACAGTTTTCGCTGCTTTGAATCCTAAACTTTGGAAATAATTGCCTTACAAAATAATACAACGGACACCAAATGTCTGGCAAGTTTTTTTCAATGTAACAAAGAAGCCAGCAAAAAAGGTTTTGTAGATGATATTAAATTCAAAAGACGCTAGCAATAATGTGTTTGAAGCTGATAGTTCATACAGTATATAGTATAAACTTTCACATTGAATTACAAATTGAGTAAAATATATAGACAAGGGATAATAAAATAAAACCACTATAAAGATTAATATATAAAAAAAACAAGTAAAATTAAAAAATACCAATCTTCAAGGAAAATTCAAATCGGAAAGTCCCTTATCAAATGGCAATATCAAAAGCTCAAACACATTAAACGAATGGAAAACAACTGTCATATTCCTGACTTGGTACAGGCATTTCCATATGCAGAAAATGGTGGATTAAACCTGGTTTTATAGCTAGCTTAACATCTCACTTGTATGACAGTCGCATATAATTCCATTATATTGACAACAATGAGTGAACAAAACAAACAGAGAAAATAGGAAAAAATGTCAAAAATAGGGGCACAACAGTCAACATTGTGTTATAATCTTAATCACTATAAAAACAAACAACTATGTCAACAAAGAAAAACAAACAGTATATAGACAAAGCACATAAGCAAAAATGAAAGACAAGAATACAAAAACTGACCACAGCACAACAACACATTGGCGGGATGCATAAGTACAGAGCCACACCAAAAGGATATTATGAAAAATGGATTAAACAGTAAAGGTTAATAATTTACAAAAACAAATAGAACAATATAACACGTGATTAAGATGACAAACAACATAAGTACCTAGAAGCTATACTTCAAGACCATCATGTATTATTTGTGAAGACGGACTATATATCAACAAGGTCTTGGTATCTTCCGGTTAACTCTTTTGGAAAAAGAACAAGACGGTCTTTGACATAACCCTGGTTCATCAACTTTCTGATCAGACACTGGTGACGTTTTATAAAGTATGGGTAGCAGCTGCAAGCTCTTGAATACCGAATGGGTTAGGAAATGTGTATCCCTTTCTCGTTTCTCAATTCTACTTGCCATTATGTGAATTTATTATGTAAAAGATGTATTTGATTTCATAGTCAAATATTGTTTACTCTAAAATAAAAACAACGCTATTAAAAACATCTTGCATCTGAATCATACACATGGACCCACCTGCACCAGGAACGCTAAAAATCAAAAACCTGATAACCTGATGTTGATGCATAATTACCAAGTCACGTCAAGAGTCATACTACCATTTATACCCCATACGCAGGTGAAGTTGGTATTTTACTGCTAAGGTGAAGAAACTTTACAATTTCAAATACTGAGTTGACTTCTGTAGTCAAATTCGAGATATATGCATTGAAATAAGGCGGGATAATCTGTATCTGTTGTTTCCTTTATCTCAGGAGGATATATTATATAATGCGACTAAATCAGAAAGGTTTGGATTGTTAATGAACAGATTATCATCAATATACCTGTAAAAGAAATTAAATGATCTAGCTTCATTGATCATTTCATATATTTTACCAGAGTCTGAAGGAACTCCGGCTCATATGAAAATAAGAACAGGTCAGCCAAGAGGTGCACCGTTGGTTTCCTAGGAATGCCGAAAACCTGATGGAAAATTTACCTCAACATTCAACAAATGCGAGGTCAATGAGGAACTCCAGCATCTCTTGTTATTATATGGGGAAGCAAGTTTAATTTTCGGGTACATTTTAACACAATATGACAAAATATACCCAAAACAATATTGTAGCGTATGAAATCAGTTTTATAGAGGAAAGCATTGATGATCATTCAGGTGGTACGGTGATGCAAAGGGTTGAAAAATCAAATGTTTTGGTAGAATTAATTCCAGAAAATAACAGTGATTCTCTTTGACTGAGAATGACCGAAAATAATCCCTTGTTGTATATGTTTCGATATATATATTTTATATTTCTTCAAAATGCCAAGTTTTACGCCACCTCCTACAAAACGGTTTTGGCCAAGTTTGATCTTTGGAAAAATTACTCATGTATATAAAAACAAAAATCAAAATTTTTCTGAAATGTTTTGTAAACAAATCTTTAAAGTCATGGATTGAATTAATTATTTCCATTTATTTTCCTAATTGTACAATGTCAATTTTTTTCCACTTTATAGCGGCCTCCTATTTTAAATTAAAGAAAAGTAGTATTTATGTTATGCTTTAAAACAAATCCAGAAGATATTGTTTTGCTAGTTCACGTATACATTCCGTGACTTGAAATTTTCGTTTGAAATGTTTAGAAATGATTTCTATGAAGATTACTCAAAACTTAAGATATTAATTATGTTTGGAAATTTGACTGTATCTGTAGAATATCATAGTCTAGTTTTTACAGTGTTGTTTAAACTAGAATCTATGACAAAAGCGACAACTCTAACTGTCCACATGTCACCTTTCCATATCTCAGCAGTGACATACCTTCTGCCTAATCGTATGGCGTTTACTTATCTTAAATAATACGTTACGCCCGTGCATGTTCAATTTATATGGACATCATACGCAGGGATGTTCTCCCTACACAAAATCTGCTTCAACGATTATGAGGAAGAACGACCGAAATCGACCCTACATACCATCACGAGTTGGTTGACCATTTCAAGGTTTGTCTTTTAAATCACCAGTGTCCTATTACCGATTTCAACATTTTGACTAAGTGTGGATTCACATGGCGGGTGATTTATATAAACAACGAGACACGTACCCTGTCAACGCACCAGGTCTAGCTTCTTTTGGAGTTCTACCGATTCCCTCAGTTTTTGGTTTGTTGCCTTGATTGGTCTCCATAATCGATTTGTACTTTTGAACATCGCTGAACTGTTTTTGCCTGTACTTTTTTGTAGACCTCGTAAATTTAGATACGATCCATATTAACTTTTTGTTTTTTGAAACAAACTTATTCTTAAATGTTATCAAATCAACACTATAGTAAAATCTTTGAATATTAACTTCACCGCTACTAAGACAGATTTTGTTTTCACTACATCAAAACATTAATAAACAGTGATTATATATTTTTAAACTGTTATCACCACCGGTTTTTGATGGGGTTTGTGTTGCTCAGTCTTTAGTATTCTATGTTGGGTTTTGTATACTTTTGTTTGTCTTTTGGTCCTTTTCTTGTTTTCCCATGGCATTTTCAGTTGGTTTTCGACTTATGAGTTTGAATTTCTCTTTGGTATCTTTTGCCTCTCTTTTATGAACATTTAGTATCTAACATCCTCTCAATACCTATATTGTTAGTATTATACAAGGCGTTTTTTATTCAGATCGGCATGACCACTTTTCAGAAACCGTCGGTGCTTTACTGGATATTAAAGTCTGTGAAAAATGTTTTATCTGTGATTATGAATAAGAAGATGTGGTATGGGTGCCAATGAGACAACTCTCCATCCAATTTACAATGTGTAAAAAGTAAACAATTATTTGTCAAAGTACGGCCTTCAATACGGAGCCTTGGCTCACACCGAACAGTAAGCTATAAAGGGCCCCAAAATAACTAGTGTAAAACAATTAAAACAGGAAAAATAACGGTCTAATCTATATAAAAAACGAGAAACTAGAAACACTTATGAATAACACCAACAAATGACAACCACTGAACAACAGGCTCCTGACTGTCTATTTAACTTTTCTGGTCTATTCTTAGATCAGTTCTTACTGTCTTTGTGTTTTAAATGTATTTGTTGTTCGACGTGCCGATTTTATGAGTCAATCATTCGAATAAGAGGATTCCCTTGAGCATTCATACATATGTTAAACGCTGCCATGTTCAAATCAGGATTTTCTAATTTTGTGGTTGTCGTATGTTTCAGTTGTTTTTCAGTGTTCTCTTTTGAATTCTTTCTTATCTTGTAATACCGGGACTTTTTATAGCTTTCTATACATGTGCATATGTGTTTTGTTCATTGTTGAAGGCCGTACAGTGACCTACAGTTGTTTTCACCAACGTTATTTGGCCAATGGTAGATTGTTGTCTCAGTTGAACATACACTACATCTTTTTTGAATATTGATATATCTTCTTTAATTCTTACCCGACCGGTTAATTATTTTTATATAATCAATGTGTGCTTCGTTTGATCTCACTTCTTCATTGGTCAAATTCAACTATGACGTCTATTTTTTTTTTTTTTTTTTTTGCTGTACTCTAAAAATCATATTGTTGCCTCATGAAAAAAGGCAACCATACCTGATGACGTCACATTTGAAGAACACATCGTTTGCAGGTCAGTTATTTGTATTTTCCCGCGGTTCGTATAGTAAAGCGGGAAAATATTGTATTGTCGTTACATTTT